CTCTCTGCTAGCTTCATTCTCTTCTAGCTTCTGTTTCTCTCTGCTAGCTTGGTTTCTCTATCTGCTAGCTTTGGATTCTCTCTCTGCTTAGTTCTTCTGCTAGCTTCTCTCTCTGCTAGCTTCAGTTTCTCTATCTGGTTTCTTCTAGCTTCTTTCTCTCTCCCTGCTAGCTTCTGTTTCTCTCTCTGCTCGCTTCGATTTCTCTCCCTGCTAGCTTCTGTATCTCTCTCTGCTAGCTTCAGTTTCTCTATCTGCTAGCTTCGGATTCTCCCCCTGCTAGCTTCTGTTTCTCTCTCTGCTCGCTTCGATTTCTCTCCCTGCTAGCTTCTGTGTCTCTCTCTGCTAGCTTCAGTTTCTCTATCTCTGCTAGCTTTGTTCTCTCTCTCTGATTCTCCCCTGCTAGCTTCTGTTTCTCTCTCTGCTCAGTTTCCTTCGATTTCTCACCCTGCTTCTGTTTTTCTCTCTCTGCTTCTGTGTCTCTCTCTTCTGTGTCTCTTCAGTTTCTCTATCTGCTAGCTTCAGTTTTCTTCTCCCCTGCTAGCTTCTGTTTTCTCTCTGCTCCTTCGATTTCTCTCCCCTGTCTCTCTCTTCTATGTCTCTCTCTGCTAGCTTCAGTTTCTCTATCTGCTAGCTTCGGATTCTCTCCCTGCTAGCTTCTGTTTCTCTCTCTGCTCGCTTCGATTTCTCTCCCTGCTAGCTTCTGTGTCTCTCTCTGCTAGCTTCTGTATCTCTCTCTGCTAGCTTCAGTTTCTCTTCTCCCCTGCTAGCTTCTGTTTCTCTCTCTAGCTTCTGTTTCTCTTCTGATTTCTCTCCCTGCTAGCTTCTGTTTCTCTTTCTGCTAGCTTCAGTTTCTCTCTCTCTGCTAGCTTCAGTTCTCTCCCTGCCTCTTTCTGTTTTTTCTCTCTGCTAGCTTCAGATTTCTCTCCTAGCTTCTGTTTTCTCTCTTGGATTCTCTGCTAGCTTCTGTGTTCTCCCCTGCTAGTTTCTGTTTCTCGCTCTGCTAGCTTCTAGCTTCTGTTTCTCTCATTTCTCTGCTATCTTCTGTTTCTCTATCTGCAGTTTAGCTTCAGATTCTCCCCTGCTAGCTTCTGTTTCTCTCCTGCTAGCTTCTGTTTCTCTCTGCTAGCTTCGGTTTCTCTCTCTGCTCTCTGCTATTCTCTCTCTGCTAGCTTCAGTTTCTCTCTATGCTAGCTTCGGATTCTCTCCTCTGCTAGCTTCGGTTTATCTTTCTATGCTAGCTTCAGATTCTCTCACTCTGCTACCTTCCGTTTCTCACTCGACTAGCTTCCGTTTCTCTATGTGCTAGCTTCGGTTTTTCTCTCTGATAGTTTCGAATTCTCTCTCTGCTAGCTTCCGACTCTCTCTCTCTGCTAGCTTCGGATTTTCTCTCTGCTAGCTTCCGATTCTATCTCTGCTAGCTTCCGATTCTCTCTCTGCTAACTTCGGATTTTCTTTCTGCTAGCTTCCGATTCTCCCTCTGCTAGTCTCGGATACTCTATCTACTAGCTTCGGTTTTGTACCCGAAACATAAACAAAATTAATTCTTTAAACGATTCTTCTTATTTCGTTATTGCTATAAACGTATGTTTAGTGTTTGTGTGTAGTGTATGTGTTTGTATGTTTGTTTCTGAGTGTGGGTATCAAAATGAATGTTTTTGAAGCCATAATGAAAATTACTGTAAAAAATAAAGTATCATTTACAATGGATTTTCTTTCTTTTTTTTTGCTTGCTTATCATATACATGATGCTAGACTTACTGCAATTAGATGACGACATCCCGTCATGTATATTAGATAGGATGAACTTAAGGGCTGGCCTATACCACGTATACACCTCGATATACGCAGCATTTCGATATGTGACGCTGTAACGAAGTGACATTTAATAACTCCTGTGATTTGATGAAAGGTAAATGTTATGTGTATGCATTATGATAATCTGCAAAGAAAACAACAAACCACATCACTGACTGACATTTTACATCCAATAGAAAATATAAACAGCTTCAAAGAGACACACGTAACACGGAATGTCTGTAGTTAAAGTAAGTAAAATATGTAATAAGTAAATGGAATGTCAGTCAGATTATGCAAGCAGTTATCCGTATAAGACTCGGTATTTGCAAGCCGAAATATATATATATATATAACGGAATATATATATATATTTTAACGGAAGTTAGATTTCATTGAAAAATACACCCCTACCCACTACCAAAAGTAACAGTAACTGATACATTAAAATATAGACATATTGAACACCTAGACACCATTGTCTAGAAAAATAGATTTATCTGTAACCTTGGAAACATGAATTTTGTTTTAGCTGTGTATTTAAAACCCTGTGATTTTAAAAGTTACTCCAAAATTCGCTTGAGGATAAAATGGAACTAATGTCTTTAATTTAATTACAAAATTAAATTCGGGGCTTTTAGCTTTCATGGTTAGAACTGTGTAGCGGAAAAAACCATATTTTAAATCAATTAATTTATAATATATATATATATATATATATATATATATATATATATATATATTGTGTATATTTTGGCATCATGTTTTTTTAAAGACATGTCTCATTAACTAATTTAGACAAGTTTTGTCTACTTATTTTTAATAGGATCCTCTCACAATTAGGAACAAATTTCTTACTAAAAAGAAAAAAAATTACCATTACACTTTCAGCATTAGCACAATCTAAAACAAAAAATAATTGTATTTTTTCTAAGACAAAATTGTTGTGTTCATCTGAAAATTAAATTTTTCCGTGTGCAGTGTAAAACTAGATTATCTACTGTACATTTTTTAAATTTTATCATGTGGACACACATGCAAACGCCAAGGGAGCTAAGTTATTGAAATGTCTAAATCTGATGACGACATTGTGCTAATGTCGAAAGTACTCAGAAAAAAAGGAATATACATCAACATGGTAATTTTCTTTCTTCTTTTAATAAGGATACGAAGAAACTTGTCCATAATTATGAGAGGATTCTATTAAAAATAAGTAGACAAAACTTGTCTAAATTATTTAATGTGACATATATATATATATATATATATATATATATATATATATATATTTACTAGACTCTCGCGTCGTTTTCGACGTATGAGGGTCAAGTAGCCCCGTTCTTAGACCAAACAGCCAGACTAACCGCACATTTCATTTGATTATAGTGATGAAGGCCCGTGCAGAGAACTGGTGCACAGTATGCTATACGGTCCCCAAACGTTTGATGTAATAAAATGTCGGATTAAATATAAAGATATTATTTTATCATTTCAAACGTTCTTTTTAATGGATACCCGTGTTTGCAATACACGCTTAGAATTGGTTTTAAAGACTGTGTACTATGTCTATTGTCCTGTACCCTCGAGAAAACTCAAAGATATTGTCGGAGTGCAAATTATTTTTATTAAGTTTTCTCGAGCGCATACTGATATATATATAATACTCACTGTGTCAATAAAAAATGGAAGCGGCTCGTCTATTTTTCAACACATGCATTCACTAAAAGATTTTGTTTGCAGTATATATATATATATATATATATATATATATATATATATATATATATATATATATATATATATATATTCCCCACGGAATATGTGATCGAGCGGCGCTATATCGAGTCTAATTCGTTGCCTCTTCGTCACCAAGTACAGTTGGGATGGCGTTTGCCTCCTATTGTAACTGTTCGGGTTTCAATTCTCGGTAGAGGATCCGCACTGCTGATGAGTTTCAGTGCTTTCTGCATTCTTTTGAGGTTTCTTCTAGAGTCGATGAATTACTTAATTAGGATTATTTCAAATTCTCCTAATTATTTTATGTGTGTGTGTGTGTGTGTGTGTGTGTGTGTGCGCACACACACACACACACACACACACATATATATATATATATATATATATATACTCTGAAATTGTTATGCAAATCACAATGTACCATGAATTCCGCGAAACTTCGCCAAGAGACCTTGCCTGGAGGCCTTATGTGCTATGAAACCTCGCCAAGAGACTTTACGTGCCACGAAACCTCTCAAGAGGCAGACAGTGTACCTAAATGATTGAAAGCTATCCAATTAGAACTCATGTACAGCATCTTCTGAAACTTGTGACCAACCACACAGTTTACAACTCTGTGATTATGAATTATCATCTCCCCAGTTTCGTGTCCTCATCTTAGTTGTTACAATCAGAAAAATTTAGCCGCTACACTCTTCACCGTTCTTTAGATGTCTGTCGGTTTTTATATATAAGAAATACTAACAAAATCATTCATTTTTTTTTTTTTTACTCGGAGCCCAAGAATCACTCATGATAGAGGCTTACTGAATGGAGCTGTAGAAAGAGCGTATAGCAATGAGGTAAAACGTGCGTATTATAAGGATATAAGTATAAATAATGAAGAATTGATGAAGGTAAGATTTTAATGGCCGAGGAAGCAGCATCTCGAGAATCTATTCTACTAAGCAGCGTCTCTTGGAAAGGACCCGTCTGAACATTCCATCCTTCCGTACAAGTGGAATACGAATGGAATGAGAATAATTCGCCCCTGTGTACATCGCGAAATTAAAAATATAAAAATGACGACAATTTACCCATCGCACCCTGTATAACGATGCACCACTAAAGAGGCAGGAAAAAATGTCCGCCTGCTTCAACCATTTCAGAAAGTATCTGTCTCCTCCGGACATGCTCCATCTTTACAAAATTGAGATCAGACTAAAAATGGTGTATTTGCTGCATATCTGAAATGCTCCCTTTCCAGCCTCGTCCGAGTTCAAGAGTGCTTACGCAGTCTTGTAAATGATGACTTATTTTCAACCCTAAAATTCCTTACCTACAGACGCAATGTAGCAAGACTAACGCTATTTCCATGACAAATCTTTTAACCAGCTTCTTATTTTCACCAGTTTAATTCTTCGGAATTGGAACTCATATCTGTGATTATGGTTTCTTTATCGCTGTTCCGCGTCATTATTCATTCCACCACAGCACCTAGTATTACCAAGCGGTCACCCATCGCGGTACTGACCAGAATTAACGTTGCTTATCTTCGCTGATCGTACCTGAACCGGTGTTTCAACGTGATGTGGCCGTAAGTAATAAAAGAAGAGGAATCAAGAAGACGAGATAACAATTGACATTGCATTTAAATTTTTCAAGACCAAAGTTAACTGGAAAGCAAGAAGTCGAAATAAATTTTCACAGGCGAGAAGTGCGATAGAAGAAACTATTAGAATAGAACTTACATGCAATTCAACTGTAAATTACGTTTATGTTTACCAATGTAGTCTCTTCAGGGTGTTGTTGATCATGGCCCTCCACCACCTCCTGTTCCTTGTAGCTCTTAATAAGTTTTGTCTTTTTATTATTTATCCCAGATACTGTTCTGCAATCCACTTAAGTATGCTTTCCCCTGTCCTTCTTTCCCTCTATCCGTCATGTGAGTATCAGATTTTCCAAGCCCTCCTTCCCCATTACACGACCCAGAAATTTCGGCTGTCTCTTAAGGTTAAGGATGGGTATCCTTTTTGTTTCCATTTTTTCGTCGTTGCTCACATATTCAGTCCATGGTATCCTCAGCATTCTTCTGTAGAACCACATTTCTGTTGCTTCGAGTCTCTTCTTCATCTTTGAGGAGATTGTCCAACATTCGCTGCCAGAAAGGAGGACAGATATCACGTAACAAATCAGTACTTATTTCTTTGTTTCTAACGAAATTTACCTTTCTCATAAGACTGCTTAGTTTTTCTAATGTCTCTGTCCATCCCAATACGTTTTCGGATCTCAGTGTCGCACTTTCCTTCCTCTGTTAGAACACTTCCCAAGTATTTAGTTTTCTGTATCTGTTTGATTTTAGTGTCCCCGACCTGTAAATTGCACTATAGGCTCATCTTTTTTGCTGATGGCTATGCATTCTACCTTGTTGTTTGTGCTTAGTCCCTTCTTCTCGATCTCCTTCACTGCCTTCTGTGGGTGGTTTTGTAGTTTCCTTTCCGTGTCTGCTATCAGCACTGTACCATCTGCATATCTTATGCTATTAAGATTGTGGCCGCTATTAATGAATCCTGGTAGGATTTCCAATTCTCTTAGAATTGCCTTGCTCTATTGATTGAATAAGTCCGGTGAGAAGACACAACCTTGCCTTACACCCCTCTTTTAGTTTCGTATATCTCCTGAACTTATTTTTTATCTCGACGCAGACCGTTTGCTACAAGTAGACGTGTTTGATTATTTTAATGTCTAACCTGAATATGTCAAGGTTGCTGACTAGCTCTAATAATTCTTCGTGGCGTACTTTGTCGAACGCCTTTACGTAGTCTATAAAACACAGGTACGCGTTCTTCTGCATTTGTATTGCTGCCAATGTAGTACTGTAATTAAATACATAAAGTCTAGGTACCATAGAAGAAAATTCGCCAGAACAATTACCATAAAAAGTACTCATGGTTTAAAAGGCACAAATAAGCTATATTACGGCGGTGGGAAAGTGACTGAAACCGGGATGCCAGGTCAGGACCAATAATATTGCAGATTCTTCTGTGGATTTTTTTTCACGGATCTATAAATATAACGCAGGAGCAGCAGACCATATGTGGCGGCAATATTCAAAGCATGAACGAATAAGTAGACTTATAAATATATAAGATAGATTCTAGAGAGAAAAATTATCTAGCACATTTACAGTGAACTTTCCTAGTATTTGTTTTCAAGGAAATTTCTTACCCCCCCCACTCCATCCGAGCATCAGATCACACTGTTTATTAATTTCTTGCTTTTTGATATTTTAAATGATTTTCCGCTCACGCACCTGAGAGTAATTGTGGTTTTTGTCCTTTAAGACATATTTGACATCAAATAGCTCACCAAGAGGAGAAATGTCGTTAAAGCCACTAACCTGTCAGGTAGGCCTATGAAGTTCATTATTAATGGTCCTCTCCTCGCTCTTACTCACTTTCTCTTTTATATGAACGATCTGCCTAAGCAAGTTCTCAGATCTTTATTAAATATATATGCAGATGACACCACGGTGTATGGGTGCAGATTCAAATATATGGACGATTTGTGCCTGGCAATTGATCTTACCTGACAATTCCCACAGCTCAATGGTGGAAACACTGGTTAGTATCATTCAATACAAAGCTAGTAACATATCACCACCACTTACTAGATTTTGAACCTCCACCAATCCGGATGAATGGTGATACCCTCAAAGTGGGTTCTTGCCTCGAACGCCTGCTGGGTCTAAAATTCACTCACGACCTCAAATGTCATATAGTCATGCTATCGCAAAAGATGAGGGATCGGTTCCTGAAATCGCTCATGTTGACATGCTCAGTCTTTACAACAGTTGGGTCAAACCGAGAATGGCGTATTGCTGCCAAATCTGAAATGGTGCCGCCCAGTCCAGCCTTGACAGAATTCAAAAGCGATTACGCTACCCTGTGGTTGATGAATTACTATCTCCCAGCCAAACCTTATCCCATAGAAGAAACGTCGCTAGCCTCTCAGTACTCTATCACTATTGTTAAGGCAGATGTTCCGTCGAGTTACATTCTTTTGTTTCAACGGTTCAGACCTTCCCAGCTAGAAATTATGAAAGAATTTGGTTTCCATGTACTGCTGCAGAAACTGTCCAACTCTCCCGGTTATGCTGTAAGCTTAAGGATGAGACCAAAAATGGAATATTGCTTTTATATTTGAACTAGAGCTGCACAATCCTCTTTTTCTAGCATTGACAGAGTGCAAAACGCGGCTGAGTGGGTGATGAATTATTTTCAACGCTATAGTTTCTTTCTCGCAAATGATACATTGATAGCCTCTCGCTACTCTATGTTCGAACGAGTTATATTCCTTTATTCAACCAGTGCAGACCTTCCCAGCGACGACTCGCCATGCCATGTTCACAGTAGCAAATCATCCTCATTTTCTTCGTGTTCTACTCATACAGCTTCCTCCTCAGAAATATTACTTTGTGGAGAAAAAAAAATCCCGATTGGCTGTTCCCTTTACAATTGCAATCTTGGTCTCAAAGTCCAGGGTCGACCGATACCTATCCTACACGTCCTCATAATATGCGCTTTTTACTCTCCTCTTCGCCCTCCCTTACAGCAAACTCGCTCAGTAACCCTTTACCGTGACTGGCTTGGGGCCTTGTATTCAGTGACCTAACAGTAAATAAAACGAAACGTGAATAATCAATTGTAATTTTATTATTTTTCATTATCCTAAATGATTTTCTCTGCTTGATCCAGGACTGAACTCCCAGGTAACTCGATGTACGGAACCAAAGATACTTTTTCTGTTTTTTTTAAGCATTTCATCTCAATAACTCATTCTCAAATTGGCCCCCTTAAAAATTAAATTGCTCCTACTTATTAATAGTGAATTTTTTTCTCGTGAGTCTGTGAGTATGAGTGTGTTTGCGTGGTAAAACATGCGGTACATATACAGTATGCATACATCAAAACAATTGTGTATATACATGTGTAATTACGTATGTATATATATATATATATATATATATATATATATATATATATATATATATATATATATTATTTTTTAACAATTTCTTAGTAATCTCTTCCCTTTTCATCTTTTTTTTTTTCTTTCATGGATGCCATGTTCTTTGGAAGCTTGTCCTGACCAAGTTAATGACCTTTAGGCTTCCTCCACGTAAGTAGGAATTCACTTTTTGAATAATAAGAATTATATGTCACAGGTGAAGGTTGCATCAGGATTTTGGAAAAGCTTAAGTGGGGCATGACCCAAAAAATTTTGGTAAGCACTGCTTTATTGAGAAGACGTTAGTGACGCAGTAGACCAATTCTTGCATGGAAGAGTCGCTGGTATTGGCTGCATGGTAATGTTGCTGGTGGGCGAAGTTGATTTTATCAAGCCTTTCTCTATTCTCTCTTCCTTTTATCTTCTGGTGTCTTCAAAGTTTTTGGTTCCGATGAGGATGGAACGATCTGGGGTTTGTGTTTCAAATAAGTTAGGCTGGTTCATTGACTTTCAGTGTTGTTTTGAGTTGGCCCTTTTTTCGTCGTAGAGAGTAGCCCCGTTGGGATTTTCCCTGAAGTGAGCCCACTGAATAAGACTTGATGTAGAAACATTGTTGTGACTTGTCTTGACCATCGAAGTCGGTTTTTCAAGATCAGTAATTCGATGCTCCGATAGCTGGCTCTTTCAAGGAGACGTTGTTCTTGGTCACATAGTATTCACATCTATTAAAATTAAAAAGTATCTGCATAGAGCCAATGATAGTCGACATTTTAGTGGAAGATTATATTTAACCCATTAACTGCCAATTTTTTTTAATGTGCATTTTTGGTCCAGACAGGTGTCTTAGGAGTTTATTTATTCCTTATGTTTAATTTCAGTAGTTACCATTGTCTGTTTTATAGAAACTGGAACATCAAATATATATGTGTATAGAACATCAAAAAATAATATTGATTAGAAATAATAAAAAAATACTTTCCAAAATAATTCATTATTTTTCTACTCGTGAAATGTAAAATTACGACAGAGTGTCGTCTTACGGCTAATAATAAAAACTTTAAAGGCTAAGTGTTGTAAAATATACCTCTGCAAATGCAATGTATGTAAGCAATTCAATATAAATATAAGGAATGACAGGGGGGTGAGTTTAATTTTAACAGATCCCAAATTGGGCTTATGGCAGGTAATAGGTTAATAAATAATCTGATGAAACATTTTGTCCGAAAATAAAAAATAAAAATTAACCCACATTTAAAAACCTCATTTTTTTCCTCCTAAATTTGTCGTTTTTATGCCAACCGAGGTGAAGTGAAATTCGATGACACAAACTTCATCCAGTTACATTTTTTTTTTAAAGATGAATACATCATTGAAACTATTTAACAATAAAGTTACACGATGACATCATTTTTAATTTTTTTGTTTTCATTCTTTTATTTGTTTACATAGCGGGACACTTGCGGTTTTTACCTGTGCTCAAGCGAAAACAGATAAGTACTGATTAACAAGGCTATCATGGGCGGAGACAGATACCTCAGTGTACTCGACTCGTTGCCAGAAAGAATTTCGTAAAGAAGAGAGACGCGCATAG